TCTTTCCTGCCTATGCAGGGGGTCGGACTCGATGATCTATTGAGGTCCCTTCCCACCTGAACATCTATGAATCTATTCCCTTTTCTCAGGAGCATTAGATTGGTTAACTAACCTTAAACTAGATTTATAATTGTTGCTCCGAATCAGCCCTACGAAAGAAGGGGCATCCTTTTTCCCCTCTCACAATGTGGCCAGGGACCAGTGGGAGCTTGGGAGTTGGGGCAGAGGGGAGATAGGATTCGTTGTCTGTGGCTCTCATCTGCTGGAGGTTACTTTCTGTGTATGGCTCGGATAATCCATGCTCTTCTGGGCCTGTAGTGGGAACAGTGCAGCTGATGATACGGAGGGGCATTGCTTGCAATTCAAGTCTTATTTGTATTTATGCACGCAAAGGCGATTGAGGCTAAATGATCAATTAATGGTGGGGAAAAGTTTGAGGTCCTCTTAGAAGATTTGCCATGTAGTTTACTTGAAAAGTGTGTGTTTTGGAAATCAAGCGGTTCAAACACTCCATTTTTTCTTTAAAGATGGAATAACTATATTGTACATTTTAGTTGTGGACAGAATAACATCTGGTTTTGATTTTTTTTTTTTAATTTTTTTTTTTTTTAAACTGCAGGGTGGAAAGATCTACAGCCTTACGAATGCAGTGAAGGAAGAAAACTTGTTGGCTGGATGGTAAGAAGGGTACACTAGTCTTGGCAATATTTAAAATAGAATAACATCCTTCCAGCCCCTAACTTCTATGATGGAGATTTTTATTTGTCCTTTAAGTTTGATTTCCAGCATGTAGGTTAAGCATAAGAGTCAGCCATGTGTTCTTCTCTGTTCCCTTGAGATTGAATTTTTACATATCCTTTTCAATTGGCCAGCTCTGGGATTATGCTAAATGATAGGCACTTGAATTAGAGCCACCAGGCTTCCATAAATCTAATTTCGAACTCAGAAGCCTAAAAGCCAGACAGCATTTTTAAGTATGAGAGGTAGGTATTTGAGTAAGGTATTTAAGGCTCTGGAAGACATAATAAAAGCTGACCGGTCCCTGTTCTTTTCACTTATTGCCTTAATAGAAAAGTGCAGGATAAAAATGAAAGCAATGGAAGGCAAATCTAGGATAACATTTGAAAGGATTCATCCCTGTCCAGAGGGCGTCAGTGAGTATTTAACTGAGTGTAGTCCTCGCGCTAAGCTTTGCCCTTAGTGAATAGTCAGGCCGTGAAACATACTGTTGCATTAGCAACATCGAATTGGATACCCAAGCTGGATTTTTAAAAGCTGATGGCTAATTTTCTGTCCTGTAATTTACTTGGGGCAAGATTGTGTGCTGGTTCTTCATGGTTGCAGAAAGGATTAAACCCATCCTTTTGCTGTGCAGCTATCTCAGACCTTGGGTACTGGAATGAAGAACAGGAACACCATCCCTGCTCTTTCCCTCTGCAACCAAACCATGAGCCGGCCGTTCACGAGATGAGGAAAGCTTCCCCATTCCCCCCAAAAATAGGTTTCAGAACCTCTTTTCCTCTGGGGAAATTGTGACGGACTCAACATTCATTCCTGGGGCTGCTTTTATTGGTTGTGCAGCTGTGTGCTACTCCGTGTTAAAGTGTGGCTCACAGCTGAGTCTAACCCCTCTTTATTTATTAGGGCCCATTCTGTTCTTAGATACAGTGGTGAGATTCAGTTGAATTGAAGGGAGTTGTACTCATGTAACTTGAGACCAGAAGTCAGCCGGTTGGTTCTTATGGTTCTTTAGACATGGCAGGGATGAAATGCAGAATCCTATTAAAATTCCCACATTGGACAGGACAAGCAGCTGCTTTTCCTGCCGGTGCTGCTAAGCCAAAAATAATTCCCACCTCACTAAGAAAAAGCTTGACTTTTGTTAAGAATGTGAAAGATCCATTTCTGGCCAGCAATGACTGAGAGTCAGAGTTGCTACTGGGTAGGTGTCCACATTGGAACAAAAAAAAAAAATCACCATTAGGACAGAGGACTGAAATCCTCTGTTTTTATCTCAACACAGGATCTAGGACTGATGGGCCATAGAGAGTGTAACCCACAAGGTAGTCTCTCGAGGTTAGGGTGTTAAGGGTGAACAGTTTTGAGACGCGTTAACTGCTATTAGTTTGCTTGTACTGTGGATAGAAGACTTGAGTTTCTGGAGTTGTCAACCTGCTACCTTTCATCAGTACTAAGTTCACCAGACAAAGCAACCCACATACAACACATGTTTTCCATCGATGGCCTCAAAATTACAGAAATTGCACATGGTATAATGCATGGTTCCCTAAGAAAATACTTTTCAGGGTTTTGAATGCAAGCCATCCCATCCAGAGGCCACAGAAAGAAAGTGATACCTTTGGAAATAACATTTGTACATAGCCGGTAATGGGTACAATTGCATGTAAATGCTCAAGAGGGCATTTTATTACATCTCCCATTTAAAACTATCTCGCTCTAACATGGGTGATTTATGTCTCACTGGGGGTTTTTCTGTGGTTAACATAGTTTGCTGGTAAATGAACTGTAGAGATTCCTTTTCCAGATAGACATAAAATGAACTCTAAAGGAAGAAATGTAAGCGTGTACCTAATACTGATAGAAACTAAATTGCAAACAGTAGTTCAGTTTCATAATGTTAATTTTCCATCTTTTTACCTCGATCTCCGCTTATAGTAACAAAACCAGTGCCGGCCATATGGATGGGAGGAAATGTGAAAGTGGTTTCATTTGCAAGAACTGCAGTCAGCTTTTCTATACTGAGAAAGGTCTGAGTAGCCATATGTGTTTCCATAGCGAACAATGGCAGTCACCGCAAGGGAGGAACGAACAGCAGGTAAAGGGAAATCAAATCCTCCAACAGTTGTTAATTAATGGAAGTCTGAATTAATATCCCAAGGATTCTCTAAAACCTGTTCCAAACTGGTAGACAGAAAAGCCTTGAAGCAACTTAACTTTTGCACTGAAGATTTTGAAGAGTCGCATAATGGGGATCCAGAATCACAGAGATTGTTGGAATTGCAATGCTGTCAGAAGCCCCTCAAATGGCCATCGAATGGGTTGTATTAATTGGAAAACTTCCAGTATTTCCAGCAGAATTTTTTTACACTATCTAGCTAGGGAATATTGGTGAAACTGGTATCAGTAGAACTTTTTTCAGCGGGTCTTCTACGGCAGTCTGACAACACAGCATGACCGTTTGGGACGGAGCATTATGTAATGTTTATAGCATGGGAATGGCACTTGCGGATTTTGTTCTGGGCTGTGTTACTTTAGAAACACTTCTTTCAGTTTGCTGGGTCTCAGGTTCCCCATATGCAAAATAACAAAGGGAGTTGAGGGAATTGTTTGAGATCCTCCAATCAATGATGCTACCAGAGGCACTTAAAAATTTTTACTATTATTATTTTTGTTTGTGTCAAGGTGCATGATGCAGAAAACTTGAATCCTCAGACATTGTTCCTGAAGCCAGTAAGTGATGGAAACACTCCCTCAGACATGAAGAAACCTTTAGACGATGGAACAGTAGTGCCTCTGGTGATCCCAGTCTCTGTACCTGTGACGGCAACAGATGAACAGGCAGGGAACAAAGTGGGTCATCATTTACGATCTTCTAAACTACTTAGGTTGACTTCAGTGGGATGATTTCTTTGAGCATGTGCTCCGCGGTGTGTGAAATGCATTGTTGGTTGGGGCTGGGAAAAAGCCTGTGCACCATGACAAGTTAAAACGTCAAAATAGGTTTTAAATGCCACTTCAGCGGTGACCCTGGGCAGAGCGGTGGCTTTCGCTTCAGTATAAGGGGTTCATGATTGGGCCCTGTGAGAGTAATCAATTGGAAACGCTTTGAAAAATTAATTCCAAACACCCGCTGAAAGTTGCATAATGTTAGAAAATGGTCAGAAATGTCTAAATTCTGATGGACAATGGATATTTGCCTTGAGCCCTATGAGAAAAGAAATAAGTGGAAGTATACAATGAAAGCAGCCTTGAGCTAAATACATTTATTTAATGCGTGAGAGTTGGGGCTGGGAAAAATATGTTCTCTTTGTGTGTATTTGCCAGCAGTTGCCTGTCATGGCAATTCTTTGTCGCCAATAACAGGTGAATATTTTAACCAAGAAATTAATGAATAGTCTTAATTAATAGGAAGGTGTTCTGGCGCCTGGCTTTGTCTGTTGGTGCTGGGTGATGTATTTGATGGCTGCTTAGCAAAAACACTTGTTTTAAGGAAAATTTCAGCCTGACTGATCTTTTTAAGAAGCATTCACAATGATAACCTTTTCTCTCAACTCACCATGATTGCAAGAAAAGGTACAGAGGGCCCTTTTCCCCTCTTGTTTTCATGAATACTTCATAGATTCATAGACATTTGGGCTGGAAGGGATCTCGGAAAATCATTGAGTCCAGCCCCCTGCCCCAGGGGCAGGAAGTCAGCAGGGATCATAGGATCCCAGCACGATAAACATCCAAATGTGTCTTGAAGGCGTTCAAAGTGGGTGCTTGAACCACCTCTGGCGGCAGTCTATTCCAGACCTTGGGAACTTCTGTTGCTTTACCCGAGACAACCTGTATGCATAAGGGATAGAGAAAAGAGGATGTTTTGTGTTTTTTTTTTTTATTGAACCCTGCTCTATAAATCTTGGTGCTCATCACTTGTAACTGGTGTAAAAATAATAAGTAACGAGACAAATTCTAGAGAAATCCAGATATGCAACAGACGTGAAACTCAAGTAATTTCAAACTTCCTCCTCTCTGGTAGGTTTTCAAGTTCCTCACAGTTGCTATTCTTGTTTCTGTGCCCCACGCAATCATTTAACATTTCGAATAAATTGTCTTCTCAGGTTAATAACCAGGAAAGCCAGGGTGTGCAGGACTCCAGCACGCACCAAAAAAAGAGAAAGAGGCAGACTCGGTCCAAATCACTTTTTATCCCCACTCCCATGCCGTTATGTGGCGAGATGCAGTCAAGCATAGGAGGATGCTATCAAAGCAATCTTCGTTCCCCAGTCTATCTGGTTGACCATCTCGTAAGGGACTTTTTCCAATACTCTCCGTATACTCCACCCCCAATGCTCAGCCCGATACGGGAAGGATCAGGGCTCTATTTCAACACTGTCTGCTCTTCCTCTGAAAAAGGAGATCCCAGCCAGCTGTTCAGTACTATTCTAGGTAAATTTAAACGTTAAAAATTGTTGACAATTGGGCAGAAATGTACACCTATGCATACAATCTGTTGTTATGTAGGTTGCCATTTCCAGGGCCAAATCCTGCCAGTGCTAGAACAGTGGTATGCACACCTCGATCCCACGCAGTGTAAAATACCTGACAGTGAACACCCATATTTTCCATCTTTCATGAGCCCAGTGAACAGCTATTCCCTTCTCCAAGACCAGAGTATTCTCACCAAAGTGTGTGTAATGTGGATTAGAGGCCATTGCTGATTGAAGGGTGTCCCCACACAAATATGGATTGTGCCCCCAGCCTTGCCAGGACTTTGTGAGCTGCAGGTGAGGGAGGATAGGACTGTGCTTCTAGTGTGTGCTTTCTGTAATAGCTGCTGTAATAGCACTTGCTACAGTTTGGCCCGTGATGTGCTGTGTAGTCTTTAGATTTCATTTATGATGTTGAAATTTAAGACTCTTCAGTCCACAGGATGGCCTCTTGTGATTAGTGGTCCAAAAACAAGGAAAACTTTTACCTGGGTGGTCCATATGGAGGGCCTGTTGCTGAAAGCGTTGCTTGATTTGCTCCACTGAAGTCAATAAGTGTTCTATAGCTGCAGAATCATAGAAAATGAGGGTGTGAAGGGACCTCAGGAGGTCACATCTAGTCCAACCCCCTGCTCAAAGCAGGACCAGCCCCAATCCGATCATCCCAGCCAGGCTTTGTCTACCTGGGTCTTGGAAACCTCCAAGGATGGAGAGTCCACTGCCTCCCTGGGGAGCCTATTCCAGTGCTTTACTATCCCCTTTGTGGAAAGTTTTTCCTAATATCCAATCTCAACTTCGCTTGTTGCAACTGGAGCCCATTGCTCCTTGTCCTGTCATCTGCCCCCACTGAGAACAGTCCAGCTCCATCTTCTTTGGATCCACCCTTCAGGGTGTTGAAGGTTGCTATTAAATCCCTGCTTGCTCTTCTCTAGGAACCCCTCTGCAGGGAGTTGAAGGCTGCTATTAAATCCCCTCTCAGTCTCCTCTTCTCTAGACTAAATAACCCCAGCTTCCTCAACCTTTCCTCACAAGTCATGTCCCCCAGGCTCTGAACCATTTTTGTTGCCCTCCGCTGGACTCTCTCCAATGTGTCCACATCCTTTCTGTAGTGGGGGGCCCACAGCTGGACACAGGACTTGGGACACAGATTGACTGATTAACTATATGGCAAGCGAGGCTGAAGGAAGATCTTACAGGAGTGTTTTTAACTTCAGTGTATGTGTGTATTTTTTTTTTTTTTAGACAGAATGGATGGAGACTTTGGATTCTCTCTCGTGAAAGATAACACCAAAATCAGCATAGAGCCGTAAGTAGTAGTAGTAGTTATTGTGGCTGGGCTCCTGGAACCTAAATCAGGCATGGAGATGTGGTGCGTCCCCTTGCAGACTTCTGTGCTCCAGGAGCCCCTGGCTGACCACCCAGGTGCCTGCCTTCCCCTTCTCGGTCAGGGTTAACACTCAGATTAGTCCCCTTGGTCCTCAAGCGATGACCACCTCTTCCTAGCTATATTTAATAATGCATACTTCCTTGCTACTCAGTATTATAGCAAATAGAGCTGCTTACCTTTCTCTGCAGCATCTGGTAGTGGCTACTGCAGAAGATGGGATGGGTGGATTAGCTGGAATATAGGTCTGAAGGAGTGATGGCTCGAATACACAAAAGAGTTCTCCTTTTGACAAACTGGACATGGTCAAATGCTTGCATAAAGGGCTGTACATTTTCTGTAATTCCGGGGCTGTAGAGTTTTTCTTCGAGCTACAAGTTGTCAGCGAGCAGAAAAATCCCAGGGGAAAAAGAGAATGGAATTCATATTGGAAACGAATGAATTCATGCACACTGAATGAATGCAGAGCTTTAAATGGAGGGAACTTTGTTCAGCGGTCACAGCAGGGGTTCTAGGAGTAAGTTCCTCAGTTCAGTTCTTGACTTCGCTGCTCGTTGGTTGGCAAGTTCAGGGCTGATCAGCCTGCGAGTAACTGTAATTAGATAAGGAGATCCTTTGAAGTACTGGGGTGTTGTCCCTGTTCTTAAAATGCCTTGCCGAACGGGGGCCTGCTTTGCACTTCTCTAGCATGTGTTGTGTTTAAGTGTTTCTCAAAAGCTCCACAATGCCTAGTTGTGTTAGGTTATTATTAACCCCCGCAAAGAAAATATACTCTTCTTTTGGAGAACAGAGAAGTGCTGACACTTGCTCTTTTACCACAACATCATGCTTCTCAGCCATGCCTAAATTTCACTTCCTCTTCCTGCGACTCTCTTTTCACAGCTCTAAAATGGGACGAGTAGCATGTGTTTCCCCTTCACAGTTGTGTAGTGATCCTCGATGAAATGTTTGTGAAGCACTCGGCTCTTGGAGCAAAGGAACAGTAAGAACGCAGACTAGATTTGCATCAGTTGAAACATAACTTGACGGTATTGTTTCTGATGCGTGTCACAGCACTCCATCTGTTCTTGCCCTTTTTTTTTGACCAATCTCTGACAAAAAGGGAACTTGGAAAATGGCACTGATGAGGAAAAAAGACAGCTTTAGGAGAGGAAGAAGTTTGGTTAGTTCAACTCTAATGTTTTACAGGCCTGTTAAAATAACATTATTTACCTTCCTCCCTTTTTACCCGTACATAAATCCATCGCTTGGCTGGTTCTCTCACTGCCTTGTATCACTGGCTGGATTAATAGCATTTTTGGCCGGACAGTGCCAAGCACTGGCCAAAACGATGTTGCAACAAAATAATCCAGTGCTATCCTGATGAAGCATTGGCTTCATTCTGCCCTTGGGTTTGCCTCATAAATAAAGATCTCCCTCTGTCTTTCTTCACAGGATGTTCAGATATTCTGGTAGTCATCTGTCATAATCATCGCCTTTCTTCTAGCTCCCCGATGCTGATTTCACCTTTTGCTGCTGACTTTATACATGTTGGGCAGAGCCAGCTTTCTTAACTGTGTAGGAACAAGCTCATTTTGGGGAGAGCTCCATAACTGTCCAAAAGCAGGGGAAGTAATGTAGGTGATTAATAAGATCCGGACTTTGGTGCTTTGCAGTACATTCATGCGAGTGGGATAGAGGAGAGGTGTGGTCTCGACACACGACTAAGAGCCAAGAACTCAGTGTCATCACAAGATCGTAGACAATTAGGGCTGGAGGGAGGTCATCTAGTCCAGCTGCCTGCTCAAAGCAGAACCAACCCCAGCTACATCATCCCAGCCAGGGATGTGTCAGGCCAGGCCTTAAAACCTCCAAGGATGGAGATCCCACCACCTCTCTGGGTAGCCTGCTCCAGTGCTTCACTACCCTCCTTGTGAGAAAGTTCCTCTCAATATCTAACCTAAACTCCCCTTGCTGCAACTTAAGACTGTTGTTCTGTCGTCTGCCACCACTGAGGACACAGAATCATAGAAAACGAGGGTTGAAGGGACCTCAGGAGGTCGCACCTAGTCCAACCCCTGCTCCAAGGAGGACCAGCCCCACCTCCATCATCCCAGCCAAGGCTTTGTCAAGCTGTGCCTCCAAGGATGGGGACTCCACCACCTCTCTAAGTAACCCGTTCCAGTGCTTCACCACCCTCCTAGAGAGTTTTTCCTAAGTGTTCATCCTGTTTCTTCTTCCCTCTCTGCCCTGGGGTCAAGCCGTTCCCTTACTCCCCTTTGTTCCCTGATGTATAAATTGGTACAAATACTGCAAGAGGGAAAGATCGAGTCGTGTGGATTAAATGTTTGCAAGAAGAGGATTGTAGGGCAGAATTTAAAGTAATTTTGCAGCACTACACTTGACAGGGCATGTAGTTTACTAAACGCTTTTGGTCAGCTTTCAATTCTGTACATGGTTGGTGGAAGACCGGAAGTTAACTGCTATGTCTTTTCCACCCAGGGTTTGTCAATCTGGATCAGATCAAGGGGCAGACTACTCGAGTGTCTTAGTCACAGTTTCTCTATACGACAGAGATTTGCCAATGCCACCATATGCCATGTTTTCACATGGGAACTCCGCTGCTGTAGGTCTGCTTGGCACAGCTTTGGCGGCAGCCAACCTGTCATTTTGACAAGTCCCTAATCTAGCCTTCAAGGGAAGGTAGGGGACTCCTACAGAAAGCACTTACTGCATAGCGCGCCTCCAGAGAAGGATTTTGGAGGCTGGCTTAGCGTCCTGACACAGGAGGGTTTATATCGCTTTTGAAACACTTGGCTATTTTTTAAATCCGCAGCATTACAACTCTGAATTTTCCAATTATCCCTGTAAACATCCGTCTTTTAAAGGCTCTAAATCTATGAGCAGCTTTTTTGTAAAACGTGGTTGTTGACTGGTGATACTTAAACTACTTGGCTAGCGCTTCTAAAACTGTCACTGGTGCAGAATGAGTTTAATAGGAGGAGTGCGATTTCTGGTTCTTGTTAAATAATAAAGAAAATGAGAGCTGTCATATCAATTACTTTTTTGTTTGCACAAAATTAATTAAGGAAGGCCCGAGTCTCCATGGCTGTGGCTGAAAGATGTTAATGTTTACCAAAGAATTTGCTAGCTCTGTGTTTAGCGAGTATAAGAGAGTGTTGTAGCACAGCAGCCAGTGAAAGGCTAATAGCCAGGTGGCACGTCCTGGAGGGTGGGGGTTATTGTTAACAAGATTGCACCATGTGGATTAAATATACCTAGGAACAGTGTCATTGATAACGGGATTATCCTTAGGTAGAATAAACTCTCTTGAGTTTTGCACCATTTGCGAGAGCCAGAATAGGAAAGGCAAATGCTAATACAGTGTGTCAGAGGCAACCACAAAACCCGTAGGGCTGAATGAGTATTAGAAAGGATAAAAGCAAGATTGTCGCAAAAGATCTTGATGTTCTAAGACTGTAGGGCATGCGCAAGAACTGAACCAGACGCCTCATGCTGAAATGCATTATTAGAGGCCCATCACCGCATTGCATATCTGTGCTGAACTTTATTTTGATCTAACCCAGGGTCAGGCATTAATCCCGCCCCCGTGCCTGTTCCTGGGAGTAGTCTACAATAGCTCGTAGAAATAGCGCATCCTGTGTTTGTGCGGGGGGTTGGTCTAGATGACCCTTGAGGTCCTTTCCAACCCTCGCATTATACAACTGAGTGTTTTGTTCTTGTACATAAAGCACCGGCTCCCACGTGCAAGATTTATCAGCAGGAGAATTGAAGTCTGGATGAGTGTAGAGCGCAGGATTCCCTTCCCTGTCCTTCCAGTGTGTTTCAGCCTGCTCCTGCCAGAGACCCACTGTGGGTGCAAGACGGTCGCTCCCCTTGGCCTCTCCTGTCAGTGTTTGGCCTCCCTATGGGGGCTGCCAGCCAAGGGCCACATCTGATGGCACTGAACCTAGCTGTTTACACGGGAGCTGCTAGCTATCCTTTGCGGAAGAATATATACGGAGCACGGATGTCATATGCATCTCGCTCAGTCATGATCTGTGTATTTATTTGTGTGCATTTGTGTATTGATGGCGATACATTCATTCCCAATTCTCTCCCTTGTCTCCATTTTTTTTTTAATTACTTTAGACATATTAACATTGGAAGCCAGTTTCAGGCAGAGATTCCAAACCTCCAGGATAGATCGGTTTTAGAAAACGATGAACATGGAGCGTCATTAGTGTGGAAACCCTGGGGAAACATCGCAACCAACCAGGAAATGCAGGACAGAGGTGGCTTAAGCTCTTTCTCTTAAGGCCACCCCTCGATGAAATGATTAAAAACTTCCTTGCTGTCATTGCAACCTTCTGTTCTTCTCTCATTCTTCTGTTTCTTGACCTTCTCCCAGTTGCATTCATGGGGAAGCAGACTGCTTAGTTTTAGTAGAGCCAGGGGGGCTGGGGTGGCACGGGCACTAAGGTGCATGGTTGACGGCGCAGAGGTCATAAGTTTAGGGCCACAGCAGAAGTGCTCGTGGTGCTGCCTGTTGGATCCCAATGAATCTGAATTCTCCTAAACATCTTGTCACAAGGACACAAAAAAGGGAGTTGAGCCAGAGCAGTAAACAAATTAAGCAGTTATGCTCTCCGTGCCATCTCCTCATCGAAACCAGTCACCAGCATTAGTCCCAGTTCATCTATGCTGACCTTGAAAAGGAAGATGCGTGTCTGGAGGGCATGGGTGTGTCAGGGAGATGGCATGCTGTAGACAAGGAGGGCGTTCTC